TCGAAAGTTTTCTGTAAGTGCGAATAATTTATGTGAAGGGAACAGTCCACTAAGGTACGATCGATCACCGCGTGAAACTGTGTGAAGTCAGCTTTACGTTCCGTATTTGGAGGAAAGACACACGTGCGCAAATCTCAGCCCGATATCCGTAACGGACAGTCCCTCGGAGAATTGTTATAAATATTATATTACACGAAAGAGAGAGAAAGAGAGAGAGAGAGAGAAGAGCGGCGGACAGTTAGGGAATAACGGACGAGTTCGGCGAAGCCACCGGCGAACGGTGATTAAGTTTTTAGCTTGCTCGCGACACGGCGTTCGAGATTTTATTGTCAGCCTCTCGGGGATTTCCGCGGAGATCGCGATCGTCCCCGCGGCGCACCTCGCGACTATTATCCGGAATCCCGCTAATGTACCCGAGATTAACGGGTCATCACGCGAAAAGCGCTCCGCTTCCGCGAAAAAGGGCGAGGGATTCGCACGTGTCGCGCTCGCGCGACCGTAGTCCCGTGATGGTATCGATCGCCGATTTCCGGGAGGTGACTTCATTCGGGGATTCCGTCGCGGTCACGCTTTCACGTTTCGATCTGTGTACACCTGGCGGAGGGATGAGGAGACAGAGAGAGGGAAGGATGGCGAATAGCCACCCCGTCAGGTACCACCACCCACCGCCGCGGTTCGTTACACACGTGAGAGCTTCGACCCCCGTTTATACAGGGAGGACGCGCGTAAAGCCCGGATCGTCACGTTCTCGCACGCCGATCGATCCTGTCCGCTCTTTTTTATGATTGACTTTTCCCGCTGACTTTCTCGCTGATTAACAACACCTGGACGCCACGATGCGTCGGCCGTGCAAGCGAAAGCCCGCGAGACTCGCCTTTTAGTCGGTTCTGTGAAAAAAAGCTGAGTGTATAAAAAATTTCAAGCTTATTTATTTAATTTCTCGATTCGCTCACACTGTTAAAGTGTCAAATTTAACCTTATTTAAGTCGCCACTGCTCATATTTAATATATATAGTTTATTTTTAAATTAAATATAAAATATAGTATAAAATAAAATATAAAATATTTTTAAATAAAATATAAAATATAGTTATTAACTATACAATATAATTATTTTTAAATAATACGATGAAATAATGGGTTAAACTATTTTGGATTATTTAACTCTATTATTTTAGTTAAAAATAACTATTTATTGAGTAGAAGCAGTGGCGACTTAACGTTAAATTTGACTATAGATCTAACAGTGCAGTGTGAAAATTGAGATAATAAGATGTATCCCCGCGGAAATTCGCGTTTTCCTTAATCTTATTGCATATCATTTACGAATTATGTATACATATACTTACGATTTTTTGTATCGCGACAATAGTTCAGCCTTCTCGATGAGGTCGTTAACGCGCGGATCTTTCCGGAAGCGAAAGTTCGCGCGTTAAAATTCCTTTCGAGCGGAATCTCGTTCCGATTTACATTTGTCACATCCCACGGAGAAATTGTCGGCTTCTAGGAAATCACGTTCGCAGATCTCGGATCTCCATAGTCGTCGACGCGGGAATCGAGATGTCGCGAGACGACGATCGTCTCCCATTGACGGATCTCCGCGCTCTGTACGGGCCTTGATAGAAAAAGCGGCGTCGTTGTCGCGGAATGTGACGAAAGCCGGGACGCTCGTTATCACCGGAAGAAAAGCTAAGTGGAACGCTAACGAGAAAATCGAAGGCGCGCGCGCGCGCGGGCGCGTGGGGTTACGCGATTAGAATAATCACGGGTCGCAGAGGTCAACGCGGATGTATAATTCCTATCCCCGTGGGTCACCCCGCCAGCTTTTCCTGCTTTAATTTCACACTTTCGGAACTCTCCGTCTTTTCCCCTCCTCTCGATAATTAAACTTCAAATGGTGAACATATATATTTAATATAATAATTATACACGACGAGAGGCGCGGCAGGTTCGCGATAGCCTTATTATATCTCGCGGCGTAATGGAAATTTAAACGCCGATGCACTTAAAGAGGCGCCGCGACGCGCCAGAAAGTAGGTACGTCGCTCTTAATAACCTCGGCGTTCCCGAGGGGAACGGAAATTTGTGATCGACGTTCCAGATCTAGATCTCTTGAAGTCTTCGCGGAAGATCCTTTTTTTTGCCGCGGGAGGACGGAAGCGGGAGGGGGAGAGGGGGGTATAGTCAGCGTTTCGACGGAAGCGATGAGATAATAGATGGAATTTGAGCGGACGCGGCAATGGTCTGAAGGCGCAGAAGAAGAAAGGTAGTGCAAGAGGCCGGAAGACGAGTCGACGTGATGACGGGAGAATGGAGATTTGACGGGGAAGAAAAAAGGAAGAAACGCGGAGGAGAGAAGATCGCTTCGCTCCGGGAGAGAGCCGTTCTCTCTCGGATCTCTCTCGCTCGCCACGTTACCACGCACAGACCGCCGTCGGGCGGTCGGTGCACGAAATTCCGAGAATCGCCGGCCCTTTACTCGGCCCGCGCCGCGCGAGGAGACGAGTTCTGCGATCGCGAGGGAACGAAAAAAAAAATCGAAGGGAGACACTCGAGACACGGATGAAGACGGACTCCGCCACCGGATATCTCGAGATGGGATTCGACGACTGGGAATCGCGTCGTCAAATGTTACGTATTCTCTAGACAGTTCGCAGCAATTAGTTTTTGTATGAGGTATATAAATGATTAAAGTGCCTTTCATCTTAGAATCGATTTATACAGAGACACGTTGCAAACTTCAACTTTGGCAAACTCCAATTTTATGCTTAAGATATTGATAATAAAACAGATCTTTTTTTACCTAAAAAAATGTATAGTAGGTCACGTATAAAATAATGGTTGCAACACTTTTTATTTTGTGATAGATATATGTATGTATCACATGTATAGTCGTGGACAGAACGGTATCGTATTTTATTTTGCAATACATTATGTATTGCACCTTTATGTGACTCACTGTACATAGTTTTACAAAGATCACATTTTATTTAAAATTATATACATATAAAATGATATATATCTAATTAATAATTAATATACATATAATCTTTATTGATTCCCATTTGGGAATTGCAAAGGCTTCTGTCTGCAATTACATTCGCTTACGTTTAATAATTGATATATAATATCAATAATAAGTTATATATACACATATAAAATTACGTAAATATTAATTTCTGTTTTCTCTTGCAATATATGTTGTATATTATAAATAGATAATAAAAATAGATGGTTTTTGACACTTTTGAAGTAAATCATAGAAGTCGAACAACAATTTTCAACGCGATAAGATAATCGTTATCTCTCACCAAAAAAGAATATCGTGTGAATTTATACATATTTATATTGCGCGCACGAAGAGACACTTTATCGAGTGCATTTATCTCTTTACACAGTCATTACCTTCCGTGACGTGAAATCCGGACGTCCTTTGAAATGTCTCCCGGGAATCGGGATTGCGGATGCTGATCGAATGAAGATTCGGAATGTTCCACGCGTTGTTACTCTTACGTGGAAAATCGCGCGCTCTCCTATTCATCCCCATTCCGGCGACACCTTCGTCGACGGCTCGCATCACAGCTCGGCTCGGTACGGCGGCTCGGCTTCGCGCAATCAGCCCAGCTCGCTCGCTCCCCCCCGTACTCGCTCTCGCTCGCTCTTCCTCGCGCGCGCATTGCGCGGCGCGCCGCGGCGGGAGCGGACTCGCCGGGATATATACATGCACACGCGATATCATAGCGGCGAGCAGTCGACACGCGGCACTCGTACGAAGCGGGTCTCCTCGTGCTCTCCTTCCCTCCTCCCGCGGCCGAAGGAGAGAAAGGAAGAAGAGAGAGAGACGCAGAGCAGTCGGAGAGAAAGGGAGAGACTTGCGAAGAGAGAAAGAAGTGTTTCAGCTCGTCTCCGATCTTCCACGCGAAATCTTCTCGACGGCAAAAATCGTTGGGAAATCCCGCTCTACGGTTATTAACCAACCACGGATCAATTGCAATCGCCGATCAATCGCAACGGCGTCTTGCGCGCGATGACGTCGCCGTACTTCGCCAACGGGAAGAGGAAGCTCGACGTGAAGTTTCCCCGTTGAACAATCCGATCCTCGTCTCGGCGACGCGCTCTTGAGAGATGCCGCGCGTCGGCTCCTGAGAGATCGATCGGAAACCACGCTCGATCGCGCCAGCGGAACGGGAACCCGACACTCTATCTCTTTCTCTCTTGGACGTGTCGCTAATTTTCGTGAGGAGGACGCTCGCGGAGAGAGAGAGAGCGTCGTGAACGCGGAAGTAACTGGAATCCGAAATCAGCCGGAATTAACCAGATCTGCCGATTTTATTTCATTGTATAATATTTGTCTCGTGGAAAGAATTCACAAGCGGATATCGCGCGCGCCGCTTGTCGGAGGACCAGTCGTCCAGCAAAGTTTTCAAAGCGGCACCCCGTGCTCCGACTACTCCGGCAGCCGGTGTGATACCGGCCACGAGATCGTGTTCCTGGCTATGGGCAAGCTCCCAATAATCCCTCGAAGTGATATTATTCACGACAACGTAAGAGCGGACGACCGGGAGGAACGGCAGAGGAGAGCGACGATAACGACGACGACGACGACGGCGGTGACGGCGGCGGCGGCGGCGGCGGCGGTGGTGGTAGTTGGTGGTGCGGAGGAACGATCCAGCGCGACAAGTGGCGCGATCGCCGATAGCGCTGCCGCCGATCGCGATCATCGATTCCTTATCGCGTCGCCGAGAGGGCGCGTGACGCCCCTCCGACGAGAGGAGTGCAACGCGTCGCCGCGGCGGACGATCGACGACGCGCGCCGGAGGCGTCGGGACGCCTTGGCCGCGATCGCGCGGCGGCCGCGCCGGCATACATGGCATTACGCGGAAGGTAAGGGCGAGGAGGCCGTCGTCCGGGTGACGGATCGCGACCCGAGCGAAGGATCGCCAAGGATCGATACCCGCACCGGCGATCATGCCGAGCATCGGAGCTGCGCGCTCGGAGCGATGGACTCGGCGGGACTCTGCAGCGTCGGGATCGCCGGCGACGACCGCCGCACTTGTTGCGTCCCCATCGACGCGACGGCCACGTTTCTCGCGCGGCGCGTCAGACAAACGGCCCGCGAACGGGTGACGTGCGTCGAGCGTCCGTCGTTCGAGCGACGGAATCGGCGAGCCGGCAGCGTCCTGCTGGCACGCAGCAGATCTATCGCGGGTGGCGAGGAGGAGACACTCCGCAGCGCGGCGGTGGATAGTATTACGATAGGACGACAAGACCGAGATCGGTTTCGCGAAGATTCGCACGTCGATAGCGCGGACTTTTTCAAGTGCAACGGATGTACCTCGTCCAACGACGGCACGACTGGCCCTTCGAAGGTGTCCGATCGCGACGAGAACGTTGGAGGATCACCGATAAGACCGATCGATAGCGTCATAAACAACACGGAGAACCCTCGGACCGGCGATCCCGCCAGACTGATCGAGTTCGGTATCGTCGAATTCCTGTGCAAGGATCGGCAGCGACCGTGCGTTCTCGCCGAGGGGACAGTGCGCCGCAGAAGCACGTCGTCCACGTCGCGACTTCCCGCGAAGATCGATCCCGGCGGATACGCGTGGCGAAGCAAGACGGACACGCGCTGGCGACTGCCGGGGATCGGCCTCGTCCAGCGAGCCCTTCTGCTGGGACTGCTCGCGACGAGTCTGCTCTGCGACGCGGTACTGGCCGCGCCACCGTCGGTCCTCGAGGACGAGGAGTTTCTCGAAGAGCAGGAGCTGGCGGCGCCGGGAAACGGCCTCGGCGACGACGAGCTGGAGATCATCAGGAGGAGCATCGTGCAAGGCCTCGGGCTCCAGAGGATACCTGATCCTTCGAAGGTAGGCCAATTTTTCGACACAGCATCCGACAGTTTTGCGTCGGCCAGAATACGAAAGCACCGTAACGTCGAAATTTTCGCGTTCATTTTAAAGTGCTACTTTATTAGCAGTATAATCAAAAAATTTTTCGACATGTCAATTTATCATAATTCCAATCATTACTTCATTAGCAATATAATTAAAGAATTTTTTGATATATTTATTATAATTCCAATTATTACACTGAGAAAAAAAATTTGTTGAAAAACGCAAAATTTGTTTCATCTTACCAAAATATTTAGTTCGATACGTTCAACTAAACGTTACTACGATGACACAAAATAATTTGTTACTATTACAAAATCCTATTTTTCAACTAAACTATTTTGTTTCAACAACAAAATTTCAACAAAAATTTATTGTATTTAACTTAACCGTTCGATTAAAAATTTAAAATACACACTATTTATTATCCCCATCAACATCGTTTAATCAGTTTGATACTTGGAATTTGAATACAAATAGATTACTTGGATAACTAAATAGTATGCAAACACAAATAAATATCACTAGTATTTTGAACAAAATAATTTAATTGAGTTGGTTTAGTTAATTCTTGATTAAAAAATTTTGATGGTTGACATGAATGAACTATACCCTTCTTTGTGCAACTAAAGAATTGTTGAATCAACCATTGGGTCAAAAAACTACACAAATTTAGTTCGTACAATCAGTTTTTTTTCTCAGTGTAGCAATATAATCAAATTATTTTTCGATCATCACAATTGCGTCTAGATTTTGTATATTTACCTTAACACTTGGTTCCACAAATGTAAGATTAACTTTAATCTCGGTTTAACTTACTTTATCTCTTTCTATATAATTCTTAGAAAGATTTAACTTCAGTTAAAACGAATTAAACCACAAATTGTGAAACCGGGCCTTAGAAAATGTTTATATTGTTTCTGTTGTAAATTGAAAGGAGAACGAGAAGATTATTGTCGAAATAATTCTTCTGTAATCCTTTTGCAGTTACGATACTGTCGATACTTTCCGTTAGTTCCGTCAGTACGGGCGACACGCGAGGAGAGAACGAATGACGAGAATATATGGTGTATTGCGAAAGCCAACGGCGCTGCGTTTAGGTATCATAAATCGATGCAAAAATATCGCTCAATTTATGTATAAGGCGTTCCAAATTCCTCGCACTTTTATGAGCCGCGGATTATTTCAATAGCTCGCGCGATTTTTATCCATGAATAAAGATCGTCGGGCAATAAATTCTTTTTTTTTTTGTTTAAATTACAAGCCAAGACGAGAAGCGAGCGGCGCCTTATTTGCGAAATAGAAATCGCATTTCACACGACGAACTTTCAATCGAAGGGAGTTTCAATTATTTTACGAGACGCGCAATCTCTTTAAGTGACGACAAGTTTAAAGATTGGGAAAGGATTGGGGAATTCCGCGCCCGACGGGATCTTCGAAGGAGAATCTATATACGAATTCATTCGAAGAAAACAGCGTCTTTGTGTTTAAAAGCGGATGGATTAAACGGCGCTATTGCCAGGCCACATAAAATCGATCTCGCGCGCGCAAAAAAAAGTGGGAGAGCCTCGCCTTGCGTATCGACGATCCCCCCCGCGCGCCTTGCCCGCGCGGTGGAAAAAAGTCGATAAATCCTAAATTATTACAGCGGCGATAAGAGAGACGAACGCGGACGCGCGGTGACGACGGCCACGTCGCGCTCATTCGCGCCTTTCGAGTTCGTTGATCGAGGACGACGCGCTGTCGAGATTACGGCTCGAATAAAATCGTCGGCGCTCTCCGCCGCCGTCGCCGCTAGGAGAGGACGATCGAACTTTGCTGACGACCTTATCTCGAGTTTTTTTTTACGTCGGTTTTGTAACGGCAGAAGTCCATACGAATTATCCCAATCTGCGGGGGGATTTTTTTGCGTTAACAAGTCTTCCGGTTGGACGAACGGCAGAGAAGAGCTCGCGCTCTCACGTCTCCTTTTTTTTTACGGAACGGAATTCCTTTCAAGTACCAAGTCGTATCTAAAGTACGTATTACGACACATCCACTTGCCGTGCGTGCGTGCGCGAGCTATATTTAAATAGTCTGGATCGAATTGGCCAGACTTAGCGCGATTCCGCCTGCCGACGTGCGCGCTATCGCTTCCTATAGATCGAAATTACCCCCGCAATTGGAGAGAGAGAGAGAGAGGAGGGAAAGGGGTGACAGGATAAAGACTCTCGACCGGAGTTAGGCCGGCGAGGCGGTCGCGTCATAATCGTACGAAAATAGACCTCGCGAATTATTGAAAGGCGGCGTATTCCGCCGCGCTCCGAAACTCTTCAAGGGTAGGCAGGTGGTGTAAATCCAGGCGTCCTCGCGGTCGCCCGCGACGGTGGGCACCAAACACGCGTGCAGCGTACTATCCCCCCATTGATTTCGCGCGCGCACACCGCCGGTATTTATAGATCGCCCGTAAATCAGACGGCAAAAACGTATATACGTATCTTGACGTATCCGCACGCGAAAGTAACAACGGGAGCGCGCGGACCTTCGCGGAAGGAGAGAAAGGGCGAAAAAGAGAGAAAGAGAGAGCCTCAGGTTCGTTGACCATCCGGCCGGGCTGAAAAAGGTATTAGTCTTTGCACGTAGGCACCCGCGCGCGTCGCGTCGCCGCGCCGCGCGCGCGGGCGGGCTGAAACGCGAGCGCTGTCCGGAGCGCGATGAAAAAGCACGACAATGCCCGTTCCAGGGGGAGACGCGTGACACGTCGCGTGGTCGTCCAGATCATTAGTCTCGTAAAACCCGCTCCGCACGAAACGAAACGAAATGCGCCCGCGCGCGCGCGCGCCTGGAAAGCCCGGGGAGGGCCCTTAATCCCTCGATCTCCCCCCCTTTCTCTCTCTCTTTCTCTCTTTGCCTCTCTATTCCCTTCTTTCTTTCGTCTCTCATATCGCGTCGCACGCATCTCTCACGCACGCATTTTAATTTATTTTATTCTAATCCGCCTTATATTATTCGCGCGTTTCATTAATATTTATAACATTATACATTGTATCATATATTTTTATTTAACACTTATCGCATATACCTGACGGAAGACGCGAGACGCGAGAAAGTTATCTTCGCCGCGTTTGAGGTTTCAAAAGCCGCACAGCCTCGGCTAAAACGCGAAGGACGCCCGCTCTTTTCTTTCCGGTTCCGGTTTTCGCGGTTTCTTCTGCCTCGCCTAATCTCGGCGTACGCACGAGAAGCGTTTCGTCAGAGGTGATCCTTCTTCCGCTTTCGAAAACGCCTCTCGCATATTTCGGCGAGACGGCGCGCGCGGGTCGCACGCGCGATCTGACACATATATGCGCGCTGTTGTTTGCCTAGACGCGGCTAATAATCGCCGTGTCCCTTTGTCGAGTGCCGACCCGGGTAAACAGAGCCTTATACGACCGCGAATGCAGTTCCTGTCGTAGATAACGCCGCGTACGTCGTGCCGTCGTCGTCGTCGTCGTCGTCGTGCCGCGCGCGCGGTGGATTATACGCGCGTTGCCGATCCTTATCTTCGCCGCGCGCACCGACCGGCCACATCTCGTCTCTATTACGTTGGCGCGGCCGAGCTCTCGATATAGTTGTATAGCTCGTATCTCGCGTTGATTTACGTCCCATTGAAACCGCGTCCGTTTAAGGACCGGGTCCTCCGAAGGGGCCTCGAAAAAAAAAAATAAAAGAGCGAGTTAATCGTGCGCCTCGGGAGAAAGTTTAATTTCGAGAAGGAGCATCGCGCGCGGCGCAGCTGTACAATGTTGCGCCGAAGATTGCGAGTCGAGAAAAACGAGAGACCAAGATGAGACGCGTATTAGACCCGCGGGAGGCGTTTAGATGTGTCTATCTCTCTCTTTCTCTCTCTCGAAGCGACGACACTTTCCGAATGTATTTCCAGTCGTCGTGACCCCAATTCCGCCCGAGATTTCGTGATCGAAACGCGATGACGCGACATCTCGATAATGCGTATATATATTTTTAGAGCATTGTTACAATCTCCCGTGAATTCAGGATTAAATACGGGGATTAATGGCATTCCTTTGAGAAGATATTTCCGGAGCCTCGCTCCATTCTTCGCGGTTCTCGGGATTAAACACCTCGGGAACGATCCGCTATATGGAGAGAAAACGTATCTTCACGACCGTGTCATTCTTCCTTTGAAACTGATCTATTCGGGACGATGGCGGTTCGAGATGGATATATTTCCAGACATTGTCTCATCCTTTCAATCTCGCGTCGCGTGTCCCGGCGCTCATCTCGGATCTGCGAAATCGCGACCGAAGCGTGATCGCCGGCTCGGCGAAAAGACGCGCGTGTCCGCCAAAAGGAGGATAATAAGCCGCTTAAGAAGAAAGAAAAAGAGAGAGTGAGGGGGGGGGGGCGTACAGGGGGAGAAAAGCAGGAGATGGAAGAAAGGACGAACGGGAGCTCGACCTCCGCCGAGACTTCCTTGGCCTCTCTCTCGTTTCCCGTCTCGTCGCGTCGCGTCGCGTCGCGTCACGTCGCTTCCACGTCGTTTCGCTCGAACGCCGTCTCGAAGGGGCTCGCTGACGCACACAGGCGGCTTTTGTTCTGCAAGAGTGCTGCAGCCCCCGCGCAACGTGTGTCGCGCGACGTCGTCGACACGGCAGCGGCGCGGCGGGCCGGTGAAGGTGAAAAGAAGCCCGGGGTGCGACGAGGGGGAGAAGCCGGAGAAGAGACGCGAGAAGTCGCTCGTTACACCGAAACCGGGGATGCCGCGAGACAAAGGCCGGGGAGATCCATGTCGCGACGTTAGATCCCCCATCGCGGGTAATTAAGTGTGTCAAGGAATACGCCTAGGCGCCTTCAAGCACGCCGGGCCAGCGTGGACCGCATTCCGGGGAAGACATCCAGAAGGGGAAAACCGGCAGGTTGAGCCGGTGAGGTTGAGAGAGAGAGAGAGAGAGAGAGAGAGAGAGAGAGAGAGAGAGAGAGAGACGGCGTAATTAACT